ACATCTGGTGAAAATTTCATGTCATTAGCACCTCTAGTAATATATTTACTGAGAAAAATGGTGACGTGTTCAATACTTATTTTACCCGCTGTAAATGCAGAAAACATCCAATTTAAATGTTAACACTGGGTTTAGGGGTTCATTATTTAGAGTTTTTTTTTATACTGTATTGGATAAAAAAACATATAGAGCTCTCTAGAGCACAATAAAAATATAAAGGAGACACCACTATGACTTGATTTTTGGTGAATTTATGTCTGTCGTCAACACAGTCCAGTAACAGTAGCCTTTTAATAGATTTTTTTATTTAAATGTTCCATATGACTTTTCTCCCAGATTATATAAAAAAAATCATGATCCTAACCATTAATCACAAAATTAATTAGTGTCAAACTGTAATGTCTCGCCAATGTAATGGCAGAGTAGCCTTTATTATGCTACTGCTCCTATTGTTCTTTTTTAAAAAAATTATTTTAACGCTATCCAGTTATCTCTCATACAGCAGAAGCAGGCCGTTAAATGTTAAGTAAAGCCTTTTACCCCAGCCTTGTAGTGGAATAGTCGCCTGACTAGAAATTCAATGAGGAGCGTGAGTAGAAAGCTGCAGGTTGTTGAAATGCTCTGCAGACTCAGAGAGTTGCTTTAGAACCAGCCTGTGAGGAACTGTGGTGTGGGATTACTGCAAGTTAGAAACAGGATATGATCTGGTTATCACAAAACTGTTTTATTTAAAAAAAAAAGTCTTTTTTTTTATTATTAGGATGCTGAGAAAGGTTGTGTGTAACCATTAGACCAGTCAGAGTATTTGAACATGTGACAGATGCTGTTATTCATAGTCAGAAATYGCTTCTGTGGGATTTTCTGTTTTTTTCGTACCGTCACAAACTACAGCAGAGATTTTCCCAGATGCTGTATTCGTGGTCAGTAATAGTAAGCTTGTGTTTAGTCATTTGACATCATGTGGGATTTATTTCAAAGTCACAGAGTGTCAGAAGCTTTGATGTTTTTAATAAGAAGAGCATTTTATGAATGTCTTCAGTTTATTAACCGATTGTTGTTCGGGTCGAGTATTTCCCACAAGGCTGCTCTGTGTGTTCCAGGCTGGCACAGTGTGGTCATTTTTCTAAACATCGGTCATTAAACACCCCTTTGTTGTTGTTGTTGTTGTTGTGCAAGCCCTGAGTGTAACGTGTACGTTTTCAATCGCAGTAAAGTTGATTCACACCGGTCCCTGGTTTTCCTTCTGTTTGACAGGCTGTCACCGGTGAACCACAGAGCCCACTGCCTCTGATTTCCAACCACGTCTGAGCTGGTAAGAAACTTCTCTAAGTTCTACTGCGTTGTTGTTTTCAGTTATGGCTCAGTGGTGTCMCAAGTATTTTATCCAGTTAATATAATGAGATTTGCTTGTGAAGTATTTCTCTCAGTCGATGTTTTGTTTTACTCACGCTAAAGTGTCTGCTTGTGATTTTAGCCATAAGAAGTAAATTAAGAAAATGAGAACATGTAACAAAACAGAATTGGACAAATATCACAACATTTTTTTTTTTTGCTCCTGAAAGTGGGGAATTGTGGGAAGCTTTTTTTTTTTTTGTTTTGTTTTTGTTTTGTCAGAAAAGACAATAGAAATTGCAGGAAATGGGCCCCTGGGAGCAAATTACAGACTGGAGGCTGAGTTGTTGCTGCGGTATGAGCTTATTTCCTGCCCACCTACTTCCAAGCTGTGCAGTGGTTTAAAGGAAAGAACTTATTGCACATCCACACACGCTCGCATGCAAGCCATGTGTTTTATGGACGTATTCAGCAAATGTTCCCGTGTCGCCMTTTGCCAGTCATCTGTGAGCAAACAGCCTTTTTATGAGGGTCACCAAAGAGTCAGCAGAAATCAGAAGGCTTGTTTCTTTATACATTTAAGTTCATTTCTTTCAGCGAAAAATAATTTTACTTTTTGAAATACTGTATTTATCTAGTTTGAAATGTAAACATTAGCTGTGTGTTGCTATGTATTTTAGCTTGTTTATATAAGCTTTTACTATGTTAACAGCCTGCCAAACACATGAGCTTCTGCTTGTTGTTGAAAATGATCCGCTGCGCTCCCGGAGCAGGAGGCGATTATTAAATTAGCAAGATGGACTTCTGAGCAAGCGAACGTTCGCATCCTCTTTTCATCTTTCAACTAACAAGAAAACAAAAACAAGTTTTTCCCTCCTCCAACTCCGGTATGAAAAATACAACTACAGCTGTTAATGCCTTGCTCTGTGTGACGTACAGCTGGAGGGAGGGAGAAAATCAGAGCCGTAGAGTAATTAAGTACAAATACTTTGTTACTGTTCTTAAGTTGATTTTTTGGGTATCTGTACTTTACTTGAGTAATTATTTTTCAGCCTACTTTTTACTTTTACTTCTTACATTTTCACACAATTATCTGTACTTCCTTACATTTTATAAAAATGCAAGAAGTAAAAAGTCGTTACATTTATTCCATTTTTGCTTGTTTTCGTTCCAGCGTTTTATTATAAAAAAATAAATACTATCCATATAAATTGTGCCTACTAGACAGTGAATTTAATTGTGGTTGAATGAGAAGTATAAATA